CGTGCCGTCGAACTTTAAACTTTTATTAACTATTTTTTCACGGTTAATGAAAGAACTCTACTTCGCGGAAGAATATAAGAAAAGAATATAGCAAAAAATCTAATGTAAAAAATGAGCCTCTGACTTACCCAGCAGGAGTATTATTAAAGTTTACACTAACAATCGCTCAGTGTATGAGAACAGCACCGTAGTAATGACGTAGATCGCACTTTCAGAAATGACTCACGTTTTATGTTAGTACAAAAGCACGTTTATTAGAAGAGAAATAAATCAAATAAATGATAATCTTAACTTAGTGAAAAGGATATATGGCATGGATCAAGAGGTGCCCTGCAAAACATTAATTATAATTCTGACACGAGCTTAATTGTCGTCGGCAGCTGTCAGCAGCCAGAATTCGTGCTCATCTGGGGATTATAAATCTGTGGGAGAGCCCAGTCCTTTAGGATACTATGACCTGTTAAGTATTCCTGGTGATAGCGGCCGTGTTAAGTATTATCAGAGATCACCAGTGTGTTTTTCCAGTTCTTGGCAAACTTATTGCGTAGCAGAGTTTTATAAATAAATGTTGTATACTTTAAACGCATATTCGCTGGGATAAAACTCGATTATTTTACTAAATAACTACGTTCTGGGGGGGGATTACTTAACGCTCAGACAATATATTTTGGTTATTCTGCTTTAAAAAATCTGTTATTCCCAAATAACGACGACACAAAACTACGAAAATTTCGTCCTCTGAACTGATGGCGGGGTTCCTTAGAAAAACTCCTATCTTAGGTTCAAATGGAACAAACCCTAAGCCGTCATTGAAAGACGTTCACATCCTGCTTGTGCTTGTGGGATAGTCGGTTTCCTGAATCATATTTGACTTTCACTACCGATTTAATGGTGAAGAAGAACCGGTTTTAGTATATTTCGTGTTATCTTGCTATCCATATCCGACACTTGAGTTTTACCGTCTCATCGGGAAGCTGGAAGTAGAAGCAGCTGGAAACAAGGAAGTAGAACATTAAAATAAACATTTAGTTGCGCATCGAACCGTATACTTGCTTAATTTCACTGTTATTGTAATTTCTACGTTTGCACAAAAGATTCGCCTTTCCGTTGCATCTGTCAGGCCATTTGTTGTTGTACAGTATGGAAACAGTTGTTCTGATGAAGGATCAAGAACGAGGTTTGAACTACGTACAACAGCACTGACTTCAACGCATAACGGGGATTAAATGGTAGGGTCACGTAAGTAATCACAATTCTCTTCCTGATACAGGTGACCTCGATAAATGTGGAGATTAGGAACAGAAAATGGGCTTTGTTTGATAAAGCGGTTCAGCTTAAACAATTTACCTAAGGCCATTAGCCTTTCGTGTGGAAGTTCGGCCAGGAGGCCCACATGCGACGTTGAGGAATAAGTAAGAGAAAGATCTACATTAAAATGGGAATGTATGCATCTCCGATGCAGTAGCTAGTGCTTTATAGAAAAAATGTTGGAAAGCTGTGAATACAGCGAGCAACACAAACCAGAGACGTTCTGTAAATGCAAAGGGCTCAAGGTGATTGTCTCAATAAGCACTGTTGTAATTTCCGAGATTGATATACTTACATGCGATAGTGCTTGAAACAGTAAATGGTATTTTATATCATATTAAAAACCACGGAATATACTTAACGAATTACTTCGAATTAATTCCCTCTGAGCCGGATTTCACAACATATTGTGCCATCCCCTTGCCTTTAGCCATTCTTGAGGAGGGAACACATAGGCGAGGATTGGTAGCATAGTGAGTAAGAAATCCGCTTCGAACTGGAATCCCGGATATGTGGAGTACGATTCCCACGGCGGGCAGTTTTTGTCTTTACTACGAATTCTCTTTAGCAAAGAATTTACAAGATTTTGCTTCAAACAAGTTCGTAGAGCATCAAACTTGTAACAGAGATTGGACTTGTATTCGATCCCCAGTTGGGGTCATTCGACTATATGTGCCGAGGTTGGTGAATGAGTGATAAAAAAACATGAGACTGCAAACTATGCTAGTCAGATAGCTACGGTTGATTAAACCAGGAAGAAAAGATGACAAGAAATGGAGATTTTGACTGATGAAAAAAATTTATATCAGCGTCCCCACTTTTACTTCTTGAAAACAAGGGTATTAGGATTGGTCCCATTGTATAGGTATAACTAAGGCCCACATTTCAGCGACTACAAACTTTCCTTTGCTCTCCTTTCAGGCTCAGCCGACATCATCTGTGGTACAACTTCAGCTCAGCGTTGTTCCTTGTTTAGATAGATTATAGACGCTATTTGTTTTGTATACATACGCATATTCGTAAAAAGTTACTATTGTTGTAAAGTTTAATAATTTCTTTATTATGGTATAGCCTTCTAGGCTCTGGAAGCTGCTCGTATATGCGCCAACAAATATCTGACAAAATATGCCGGAAAAGACGCGTTTCATATCCGAATGCGCGCTCACCCTTTTCATGTGATTAGGATCAACAAAATGTTAAGCTGCGCAGGAGCTGATAGGTAAGTGTCTTTCAGATTGCATGTACGACTTACGCCTCAGTACGTATAGTCTGAAAAATTCTTAATGAAAGCACCCTGTTGGCATGATTTTAAAGTTATGAAAAGATTACCTCTCGATTCATCTGCTTTTGTAACAGATTTTGAAATCATCGGTTAAACAAGAACTTTAACATGGAACTACTTCAAGTGAATGTTTCTTTGATGATACATCGGTTAATGGACCCTAACTCCTCCAAAACGAAATTTTTCCCTTCGCAACGTACTCTTTGAGGGGGCACTTAAGTAGTGCACGGCTCCATGGTATTTGATCACCCACAATGTGAGATGCATCTTGCATAATCTTTTCATCAGCTAGAATCACTTCGTGCCTATTACGAGCGATCTTAGCATATTCCTTATGTGTTACCACATCAACGTTTCAAAATAAGTTGGTGCATTGATTTTTACCTCTGTACGTCTTATTCCTAAGGTATTCTTAGACCAAGAAAAAACGAAGTTAACTAAAATTTTATCCCAGTACAATGGATCCTTCTTGATGCATCATTCAAACACAAGTAGTTTAAAAGGGAAAGATCATTTTTTAAAAACTTTATTCTATCAAATCAAACCAAGCTTCAAAATCGCTTCGTAATTATTTCCTATTTAGTAAGTTATTATTTGTCTATTGTGCAACCTTAATTTGTACGTTTTGCCTGTCGAAACGCTTTTTTAATGGCCCGGTCTGCTTTTACTTTTGCCGAACATTTGTTTCAAACCATTTATCTAGAAAAACATGTATCAGCATTACTGTTTTTACAAGCCAGTCTAGCAGTATGATCTGTTACTTCTGTTTCAAAGCTATTTATTAAAATCTGGCTTTAAATCGAAGTACCGTATTTTCCAATCGATAACGCGCGTGTTATCGATAAAAAATTTCCAGTAAACGTAAAAAAACAAGGTTACGCGTTATGCAACGGAAAACGAAAAAATGTTTGCCAACATTGGAGGATGATAGAATATACAGTTTGTTTCTTTTTATAAATGTGAATGTCCCTGATCGGTAAGTTTTAAAATTTTCTGTTTTCTCATTTGAAACAAAATACTGGTTGTTGACATCTTATGTCCTTTAGATCTCTCGTAAAAACTCACCCGAAAAGTGTTTTTTCGATTTCTGTTCCTCGTGGCACGTTTCTTCGGGTATAAATATTTTAGGGCTACTTCTTTTACTACACTGGCCTCTCCAGTGTTAAATTTCCTGGCTGCGTCACTACATTTCTTTTACAAAATTAACGGCTTCCAGCTAATTTAAATATCGCTGTATAAGATTTTCTCCGCACAGTCATTTTTTCTCCATGGTTAATTTCTCAGGAGCGACTTTCAATTTTAGAAACTAAACACTTGTAAAATACACATGTTCAAAGACCAGCAGCAGTATGACGACTCTTATTGATTGTCTTTTTAGATGCACAGCCAGGCGTATTATTCCATTTTTTATTTGTCCGAAAACGGTCTTTTTTCAGACAAGAAGCAGGCAACACGCTATCTGTACATTTTCATGAGCATTAAATATTACTAGGTGCGCGGTATACATCAAATGCGCGCTATCGATGGGAAAATATGGTAATATATGTCCTTCCAAAAATGTTTTCAGGGAAACAGAGGCACTGGTCTCGGATTAAGATTTACAAATATTGATTGATTTAAGTGAATTAGATCATGTTCAAGCATTGCGCAGCTACTGTAAAACCTGGACAAACATCTGCGTAGATCGTGCGTCTCAAAGTGGTTCTTCACATTTGGGTAGGATATAACTTACTGTAATTGCTTTCCCATGTTTCTGGACGATGATCCCTGTTTTTGTGCTGGCTGGAATGGTAATTTTTAAGGGAGTGAGTTGAATAACTTGAAAACAATAATATTCTGTAGTGCGGTTCCATGATCGTCACGTTTCTTTCGGTATTGTTCTCCATGTATATACTGTTACAGAAATTACCGACGTTTACAGCTGTACTTGGTTCATTGTCAGAGTTCCTTCACAAAATCAGAACATACTTTGTCGTAATAGTAAAATCATTACAGTGTAATAAGAAAAGCCTTGGCTCCAGCACTAAAATACAGCTGGTCATTCTAAACAAACCCGGAGCACAACTCTTGCAGGCTTGGCGGTATTCGTGCGTATTCGCTACCTTCAGTGCGCTGGATTCGCCAGTCGTTGCGCACTCTTCGAATCTGGAATAGCCTACTTTAATAGATTAATGTCTGTGAACTTTAATCGAAAACTAGTAATTAGATGCCCTTGAAAACTTTTTTTGTAAAACACCTGCTGATTTTAAAAGTGAGACGGGAACTTTGAAGTACAACCATCACTAGCTTTCGCTGTTTTAATTTTATCTTACACTGAGAAAAGCTTCGGTGTCAGGTGGGCATCTCATTACGCATTCTAGCCGTTTAAAACGTGTACATCGAGCAGTGACATTATGAGTTTCACGTGTCCGTCGTATCAGTGCTAGCAGGTTGTACGGTGTTTGGTTTACTGTCATTGACTACCCCATTGAAATAATTGCCTGATTAATTGTGAAAAAGTGATAAGCGAATCCATTGGCTTAATCACATCGATTTATCACTCTGTAAGATGTTAAGGTGGATTTTCGTCGTTGTTTCGAAGTTGAACTGAGTTAAAATTTAGTAAACGTCAGTGAAAATATGGTTTATAAATTTCAGATCATTTCAGTGACTGAAACAAGCAGGATTGTATGTAAATATTTAAATATTGATGTAAAGTTGAAACTTTTCACGTATAGTGACCGTTTGCTTACTAGACTCCAAACTGGAATGCGAGGTGCTTTCGGAAAACCACAAGGGACAGTTGCCCGCGTAAAAATAGGTCAAATATTAATATCGGTACGCGCTAAGGATGCAAGCAAGGACCACGTAATTGAAGCTCTGCGACGGGCGAAGTACAAGTTTCCCGGCCAACAACGAGTATTTACTAATTGTTCTATTGGCATGATTTTAATTGGTACTTTTATTAGGTCGTCGTTTCTTCGAAGTGGGGATTCACAAAATATGATCGGGAGCGATATGAAAAGTGGCGAGACGAGGGTCGACTAATTCCTGATGGAGCAAATGCAAAATACGTCAGTGGACATGGACCATTACAAAATTGGGTGAAGCATCCGGTCGACTGATGACCAACAGACATTTAGAGCTACGGCTATGATGTTCATTTTTGCTCCAGTAAAGAAGGCCTGATTTTTTTGGCTATATATTTTTGACCACATTTTGAAGCAGAATGGTTTGGCACAATTGACTGCTTTTACTTCAGTTGTCGCCCACTCCAAGAGCGCGATTGCAAACAGGTCGGTTTCAAACTCAGGTTAGATTCCCAAGAGATGACAAAATTTATCTTGACAATTAATTCCCTCGAGCAAGAAATTAAATTGACCTACCGTTGCATTGGCGAAACCAGTCTTTGGTATGCGAACAACAAGCACGATATTCTGGTATGGTCATACTAGAATGGGCGAGCTACTTCTAAGCCTTCCAATACAAGCTCCTTTGTGGGTTACTTCGCCTTAGCCCGCCCGATCGCTGGGTAATATCAGCACGTGTAACCCGCAGGAAGTGAGTTGAGATGCGATGTGCATAACTGCAATGAAATATGCCAGGAACTAGTAATATTAGCAAATATGTCGCTTGGCTTTATCGAAATACTGCCATAAGTAATACTTGTTCGTGACGCAAAGTTTGGAGAGCAGCATTGATATCAACCGTCAAGCATAGCATGATGATTCTTTCCGTCGTGTCGCCCTAGTCTCTGGATGAATGCGTCAATCAGTAGCCACAATAAATGACATTTGCACTAATAATTGAAGCATACTTTCCGGAAATGGCTAGTTAGGATCATATATCGTCTATCCCACACATAGCCGGTCAAAATTCAAGGGATACGACGCAAGAGCGTTAACTAAGTTATGGTTTTTGCGATTTAACAAATAATTAGTAACTTGATCACTGCCAGTTTTAACTAAATCTTCGGCAAACTTCGTTGTATTGCTCAACCAGCAGTGGAAGCAAAGCATTTGGTTTATTGAACGCTGAAACTGGAAAATGTATAAGAACAGTTTTTCCATACCCAACGCAAGCAAATTGGTTGTGATAGGGCGATTAAGCGATACTGACGTTTCGGCTTCGCTCTCACGGGCTTTCTTCAGAATGGCCTCGATTGATTTTCGCAGTTCGTTTTATGTTCGATGCTGTTCCGAGATTTGTATTCAACTGTATGCTCTTGAACCATGTTGCTGGTTAAGCAGTTTTTAGGTAACAGGCTTCTGCAATCCGTGCAAAGTTCGTATCCATTGTCCCGGTTGACATTTTCATTGGATTGTATAATTAAAGCCTATCCGATTTGTCGGTTCAGACAGTTCCTTTCCTTAATGGTACCGGTACAATGTGACCGTTACAATTCTGTTTCTTGTTGCACAATCTGAGGTCATCTCCTGATTGACCAATTTGCTTGCGTTGTGTATGTTTAAACCGTGTTTTATACACTTCTCAATATGAGCACTAACGAACGAACGAAGTACTCAGACACTTGATTTATTACTTGATTTAATCAGTACCGTTTAAAACCAAGGCCGTTCTTTTTTAAATGAAGAGATATCGAAACTTGAAACTGCGGTGGTTGTTTTAAATGTAAATAATGAAATGAAAACGGCTTTGAGTTTCGAAAGTGTCCTGATTTAAACTAAGATTTTTGAGGTCTTTCAATTCTTTACGTTATTGATTAACATCCGTATTAATATTGTTTCATACTGTTGATTTTTAAAACATTCTTTACTGTTTCAAACGATAACAAATAAACAAACACTTCATAAAAGTATAAAGTCTCCCGCACTCTCTGAAGCTGAAATATGCGAATCAGAAAAATTACTACTACCCATACTGCGAATGCGACCAGTTTCGATCAACTTGCGGTTCGAGTCATAGTTCATGAAGCTGTTGTGTTTCGAAAAGCCGCGTCGACGTTTCACCTCATCCCGAGAGACGCAAATCGTAAACAACGGGTGCTTCGTTGATGCACAACCGTATTCAGCAACCTGAAACGAGAACAGTTTAAAATGAGAAAATGTGACACCATAAAGCAATCAGTTGCAAATTAAGGAGACGTTGGTCGAAACTAGCAAGTCTGTGAAAATAGATTAAATGAAAGAATGCTGGACTGCTTAGGCGAGGACAAAGAAAGTACATTACTTAAAAAGATAAACAAAAAGATGATGTAGTTATTGTTTGGTTTAGCCTTTCAGGGCACAGCACACCAAAGAGACATGTCATGCCATCGGATGCAGGCAGCATGGGCCTACAAGGGAACCAACCGGCGGAAAAAAAAATTTTGGAAGCGACTGAGGCAGAGCTGGCAAAAAGAAAAAAATGGGCAGCGAGAAACGTGCAAGAATAAATCAGCATGCATTCCTTTGTTTCTAAGTTTAGCCTGTCCATAAATATATACCGTATATATAAGCACTACATCGCGCACGTCTTTCTATAAACTAATTATCATACTCGTGACCTTACCCTTATATGCGAAACATTCAAAATATATAAAGAACAGCCATGACCCCGGGATTGAAACAAAAGGGAGAACAACTGCACCATAACCGTAGGTGGCTCTTCAAATTGAGATTCAAGACTGCAAGATGAGTTGTCTCAGATTCAACCATCGTTCCGCTCTCCCTGATTCGAACAATGCTATTTACGTAATTAGAAGTCTGTTTTCTGAATAACTACTAATTTTATCAAAAAAATAAAAGTTTATACAGTATAAACGTAACAATAGTTATATAGTAATTTAAGCAGAAATCACGTATAATGCCTTAAGATTCGACACATTACAGCTGCTGGCGATGTAAACAAACATCGGAAAATGCCAAGCGTAAATACGCCAGAAAAACTTATTTTGGATCATGCTGAACTGGTCAAATGGATCAGCTGTTGGATATCGTCAGATCCAAGACGTTTACAGACGGGCTATCGTTGTATTGAAAAAATTTTCACTGTAAATATACTGCATGCCAAATTTATCGATTT